AAAAAAAAAGTATGACATTACCTAAACATCCTGTCAACATCTTCAAAGTTTCCTATTTCAGGCCAACCGTAATACAAAAGTTCACTAGAATCTTTGTTCTCCGTATTCTCGAAGAAATCGAGATTGCTTCCTGTGTGAGTAATGTCACCAAGTGCTTCGCCGAAAGAGCTGTTATCAACCGCAGTGCTCTTTTTACTAAGAATGGTATCATTTGTACAGATTTCATTATTATTCCAGTCCGTCTTATTGCTTTTTGAGGCATGACGAGATGATGTGGTGTTTTCAGAAGCTACACTTGATGCCTCTCTGATAGAATTACTTTCGGGTGAAGAAGGAGATACGCCACTTGTCGTGTTGCACCATGAATCATTTTCGAGCATAGTGTACGTTCTTTTATTCAGAGACGGAAATCCCCCTTGATCTATTCCCATATTGACATTCCTGATGGAAGATTCATCTCTAGTACTATTTGAAGAGCTTGTTACTTCACTGCAAGGTTTGTTGTGGCTGTCACTTAGAATGGAATGATCAGCTGTTCTCCCAGATCCAGGATAAGGAACTATATGATCATCACTCTGGCAAAAGTCATCCCAAACTAAGTCTTCTAACTGTAATAGCAGTTACGGAATTTTAGCTGTAATAACTGCATAGGATACTTCCACAAAATGAGTAACACAATACCAAATATTCAAACATCAGCAAAAGGCAAAAACCAAAAGGTTGCATTTACAGGTTAATTGTTTTGACACACTATCACAAAGGAAATATTGTCTAAGGATAACAAACAAGCATTACATAACATATGACGGAAAACTTCTGTTGCCATTACACAGCCGACAACTTCCAAATTTTCCTAAAATATCAGAGGAAGTTGATTTAGGGACAATTCTCTAATGAACACTAAAGTCTGTGACCAAACTTAAATTTAACAAAATGATATCTCCAGTTCGTTAGTATAGTTTAGAACCGGGTAACCAAACAATTACACCAAGTGTATATTTCAATAACAAGTTTTCGACTTTTCTCCTTTTTTTTTTTTTTTTTAAATTAAATCTGCATCCATACATGCTTGACAACTGGAAAAACGTAACTTACCTCATACAAGCACAGGTCAGACATTCCTTCACGTATTCAGCCAGCACTCAAACTGTGTGAAGTGTTCTTCATGTTCATATACAAGCCCTTCCTTCACCTCCGATCACAAAATCCACCAAAAGAACAAGCAAATGAAAAAAAAAAATAGTATTAGAAAACAACAGAGCAAAACACCAAAGAAGAACTGAATATATCTGTCTTCTCTGACATTATCACATATGTCCAGTACCAACAAATTAACAGCAACCAACGAAAAACATATCGAAATCACAAGAATGGTAACAGAGATCAACTGCCCCACAGACCACAAACCATCGTGAAATGAGTTTAGAACAAGCTCAAGAAACAGAAAAGCCACAATAAACAAAGATTTACAAGCTTTACAGGTTTCACCTGCATATCAAAAACCTAAAAAACAAAGAGAACCAGAGAATTTCCAGCTTCCATGAAAAAAAAAGGGTTCAATTAAAACTGTAAAACAGTGGATCTCAACGAGTATGAACAAATAGGAATTCAATTAAGTCAAGAATTAATCATAACAATTTAATAAAATAACAGCAGCAGAAGTGAAGTAATATATACTTCAACCCTATAAAATTTGCCCTTTTTTACATCAATTTCAGAAAAACCAAAAGAAATCTTTGATCTGGAAACAAATTAAACCATCTAAACAAAAAAAAAAAAGGGACACCTCAAACACACAGTTAATAACTCGGCTAACCTGAGCTCGCCGGAAAACTCACCGGAAAAATCTTGCTCGCCGAGAAAACCTCAGAAATTGTCCAAAAACAAAATCAGGCGACTTCAAATCAGCTAAGAACCCGAGTTCTGATCCGTGGAAATCCGTAGGAGCTTCTAGAGAGAGAAATATTATTATTTTTATTTTATTTTATTTTATTTTACTTTTGCAAATGAGCTTTTTGGCAGAGGAAAAAAAATAATTTTTGGGTGTTGTTTTGGGGGAATAATATATTTATATTTTTCATTTACAGTATTTAAGTAATTTGAGTCATGGAGGGACCGCCACGTGGCAAGTAGATCAATATAGAGGTGGCCGTGGGAGGTGGGTATCGCAACTCGTGGTGGAGAGGTCGGGTTGTGATACGATCCCTTTATGCTTTCTCATTGGTCCACGTGGTGTTCCGTTTCAAATGACCCGACCCGACCCGACATGGAATGACTGTGTGCCGCTGTGCGTTGCGTGCGAACGAACGTGGTCGTCAACGAGTTATTGGGCTTTCGCGTGACACTAGTTGAAATTGGGCCTTTTTGAGGTTTTATCTAAAAAGAAAGTAATTATAATTAAATAAATATATAAGAGTTGAAACTATGGAACCACCTTCACCATGTAAGTAATAAAATATCCAAGTAAAAATTATCCTTCTTAAGCATAGTTTTTCAACCCGGATCGGCCTGGCGGGTCGATCCAGGAATCGGGTGACCTGGAGTTTGAACCAGTTCTGGTAGGCTATTCGGACCGGTCAAACCAGGTCAAAATTTTGTCAACCCGACCTTGACCCGATCTCTATAATTTTTTTTTATTATTTAAAATATAAAAACTATGTGTATATATTTATATAGTACATATTTATTGTGAGATATAATATTATTAACACTTTTATAACAGTGTTTGTATCATCATATCTCCCAATGGGTACGGATATTTGGTTCATATACCAAACATAAACGTAATAAACGTAAAATAAACATCGAAAGAGATGGTGATCGATCTGCGACAAAATCGGGTACGGATATTAGGTTCATATACCAAATATAAATGAATAATAAATGGAAAATAAACATCGAGAGAGGCGGCGATGGATCTTATACAACATCTCATATCTGATTGTTTGTAGCATTTAAACCTAAAATGGGAAACCGATTTCACGAATGTCTTCAAGGTAATTGGGTCTGAACGCGTAGTGAACTTTTCGCTTGAATTTTTCTCTTCCCCTTAGGTATCGATCGAGAGGGATATGATTTTGCTTGGAGTTTGCGAGGTGGTCGAAAAATGAAAGTGGGGTTGCAGATGATGTGGCCGAAATGCTTACAGACCAACCGAATTCCGGTAAGCGTCTTGACGGGTAGCCAGAGGAAACTCATTCGACGCCGTCGCGGGTGGTGGTTGGTGTGGGGATAATTTGAGAAGACATTCAACACCTTCGACGCCGTCGCCTCCTAGAGCCGAGCTTGAAGCAGATCTTCGCCCTCCTCAGGCTCTCAATCTACAGTAAATCGCCATGTGTGGGGGTAGCTGGTGTTGGGGAGAGTTGGTCTGCAGATCTCCATGGACGCGAGTGATTGGTGTGAGGAGGGTTGGTAGGGAGGTTTTGAGAAGATATTCAATTGAAGGCTATTTTTTTTAATGATAATTATATAAATATATATGTTGAGTAATGTAGATGTGCAAAGAAGTTTTTCATGTAATATATTTGTAATATTTTATGAATCAGTACGTACTAGTACAACGCCCGTGTATTACACGGGTGCTTGCTAATTGTTTTCTTAAAACCTAAAATTAATGAGAAAAAGTAGTTGAAAATTTAAATACCTTTTATTAAAATACATATATTATTATATATTTAGTATGATACTTTTTATTTGTGGGACTTACTTGTGTTATATTATAATAACTTTTTTTAACTTACAACATATAAATACATTAATCATAAATATATTAACTGAGAAATAATTTTATTTTTCTAATTAATTTTAATAAATATTATTATTTTTTATTATTATAAAGATAATTATAATTTATTTATTTATATATACGATATGGATGTCAAATCGAAAATCATGAAAAGATGATTAATTTGATATATTATATATGTAAAACCGATAAGAAATACAAAAGTTATCAACTTTTAAAATACATTTATAATTCAATAGCTAATTGAAGGAAATCAAAAGTCAGGGATATATTAGTCACTTAGTGACTCACTAAGTAAAATTACAAAGAATTAAAGGGTTATATCTATTACTATAAAATAAGGCTAAGGTAAAATATTTGAAAAACTCTAAAAAAAATCCTACGTTTTCCCGCTTCGTTTTCCCTCTTGTTTTTCGTTTTTGGTAATTTTTTTTGAAATCTTTTCGTAATGCCACCTACAATTCCTATTTTATAGTAATAGATCATTTGTTTTTTTTCACCTAATTTAACTCCTTCTTTTTAGGATGGGATTTTTTATCTTTTAATTGGTGATAACTGATTTATTTTAACCCCATAAAATTCGTTTGTTTTCCTTTTTTTAATTATCGGATTTAGTTGATTTTTTTTTACACATTGATTTATTTCTCATTTTTTTTGGATGGGATTTCATACATACAAATAATATTCCAAATTGCATAAAAAACAGATTAATAACAATTTTGTAGAATCCTATATAAATCCATCATTCTTTTATAAATGCTTCTTCACTTCCACTTCTCTTCTGAAATAAATCTGCAAAAACAATTCTGCAAAAACATAGAAACACGTCGTTAAGAAACAGAAAAAAACAAAATGGCACCAGTGTTTGATACGCTTCTTACGGTTACAAGCGTGAACATGCCTTTTTTGAAATTAAGAGCTACTCATATTGTTGAAACCAATTACGAATTGGAGACACTGTGCCATCATTTTTTAAGATAAAGAGGTAATGCATTCATGTGTTGTTCATTTATTATTCGATTTAATGTGTTGTTCATTTATTATTTGATTAATTTATTCGATTTAATGTGTGGTTCATTTATTATTCGATTTCATGAGTACTTTATTTATATTTTACAAACGTTTTTAATTTATTTATATTCTAACGTCCAATTTTTTTAATATATTTATTATGTTCAAATTTTCTTATTGTAGGGCATACAAATAAGTGGATTGATATGTTACAAACAATTAAGCTTATTTCGAGATGTCTTTAAAGAAGGCGACGTGTATTGTATCGCAAACTATGGACTGAAACCCAATAATCGGTAGCAAAGAGCAACCACACACGATTAGAAGATTGTGTTCATGAGTATTACACGCGTGATGAAATGGAATGGAAGTTTTCCATGAGCCTCTATAATTTTAACGACATGATCCATGATAATAAGTTTTATCATAGCTTTCTTATAATTATGTGATCTTTAATTTTAATCCATGTCGTTCAAATTTACAAAGAGATTCCGTTTTTATTCCATGTCCTTCAACATTGCCAAATTTTTATTCAATATAATAGAAATTATTCTGTTTATTATGTTGTTCATTTATTATTCATTTATTTATTTTTTTTGTTCATTTATTATTCAATTTATTTTGTTGTTCAAACTTCAATAAAAACAAATGGAAAAACGTATTATCTTATACAATATCAACTAATTAGGAAAAAATATTCAAACAAAAATAGCTTCTTACAAATATGTCACAATGTCATTAAATTATCCTATATGATTTTCTCGACATTGTACTTATTTAATAAAATTATTAAATGCCTATATTTAGTTCGAATTTCATAAGTTTGAAAGGACTCATACATGATATTTAATTATGATGAAACAATACCAAATAATGTGGATTCTTAACAAATAGTCCATTATCTTTAACATATTTAATGGTGGAAGAAATAATTCAAAAAATTGTGTATTCTTTAAAATAGATTTTTTGAAAAATCCCTATTTCATTTCAACCGATTTATTTTTTGATGTGATTTTATTAATTCTTATTTCACCAATATGCTAATTTCAATTGCTTTATTTTAAGAGAGGATTTGGGAGATTTGTATGGTGTTATCCGATTTTTAGAATAAGCCTAAATAATTTAAATTCTCGAGATTTTTTAGGATGGAATTTTATAGATTGTTAGTTATACATAACTATTCTTTAAGAGATAGTTTAACAACTTATTCACACATTTTTTTATAATATAATATGTTAGTTATAGATAACTATTAATTAAGATAACTATTCTTTAAAATAACTATTAATTTAAATTCGCACGTTTTTTATTTAATATATAATATTTTAGTTATAGATAACTATTCTTTAAGATATTTTAA